GTGTTGGGAGGGACATGTAGAGGGAGCGCTGACCCAGGAGGGCTTCTCCTTTACATTTAATGAGTAGGAGAGAATGATTACATCTGAGTGAAAGAGCAGGGTGGAGCTGAAGAGCTGTGGCACCAAATGATGGTGAAAGTCTGGATATATGGGCCGTTTCTCTCAGTTCTCCCACTTTTAGACATTTTCACATTTTGTCATTAAGACAACCCCTCAGAATGAGGTAGAACATCGGAAAGTAGGGATGCACGATATAATCGGCCCCCTATCGGTATCGGCCTTAAAACTGAGTATCGGACATCGGCCACCCCACCGATATTTAACCCGATATTTGATCAGCTTCTGAGTTTCTAAAGTCTAAAAAATAAAATAAAATACTTCTTCCTCAAAAACTTCTTTCTTACAGACTTAAAAACTTCTAAAGACGAGGGAAAAATATTGATACATTAAAATATCACAATATCTTCATATGCTGATATATTGCCATTTAAAAACACCATATCAATCTCTTTTACTAATGAAATATTGCTATATGTCATCGTTATGCTACGAAATCCCCCGAAAATTCACGAAATTTTGCCATATTTTTATATGTTGATATATTGACGCGGTATCGATCTACTTTACTAACAAAATCTCACAAGAATTTGCAAAATATCACCAGAGTTTGTAACAGAACGATGAAATTTCACGAGATTTTGAAAGTAAAATAGATCGATACCACGTTTTTAAAAATCAATTTGACATCAGCATATGAAAATATATTTGAGTATATTATTTTTCAAAGTGTCAGAAATGGATAACAAAACTGCTATTTTCAATGACTACTTATTTTTGTCCAGCTTTAACATCGGTATCGATATCGGTTATCGGCTACATGAGTTTTAAAATATCGGCATATCGGATATCGGCCTAAATCCCAATATCGTGCATCCCTATCGGAAAGATGTATCAAGACACAGTTGTCCATGGCAGTACTCTTTTAAATGTGATTTTATTTCTCCGTTGCACAAAAAAGTAAGATGCAATATTTTCATATAGACATAAAAACCCCTTTACAACCTTTCCGTTACACTGATACCTGTAGACGCACATATTGATTCATCAGCCATTCATACCAACCCAGTCATGTGTGGTCGGGTTTGTACATAAACACAAAACAACCCACTAAACGAAACAAGTGAATGCACATATTTGCTTTGCTTTTTACAATATACCTATTGATTAATCATCAAATTACAGATTTGATGAATCAAAAAGAGCCACATGTCTAGAGTTATTTTTAATAACATAGTTCTCTAAGCCAATAAACAAACAGTGTAATAAGCCAGTTTTGGAAAGATGGTAGAGAAGATGATTTCTGTTCTTTTAGTATTCACTTTTTAGCCAGTAGATTCCCCAAAAATAAGGCATTCTGAATGTGTTAAGGGAAGTTTGAAGTACTTTTTAAAGACTCAAACAGGGCAAAGTCTGTGGCAAGACCTAAAGAAAGTATGCTCTGAAGTAATTCAGCTTGAGGTATTTTGAATGAAATGAAAAGATGTATCAAAGGTCAAAGAAGATGAGCTCACATCCAAAAGACTTAGAGAAGAGATGAAACATTTAAGCAGAGAAAACCCCATCTATAGACTCCCAGAGACTTTCTGAGATTAATCAAGACATCAATTAAAAGTCTAAAAAAAAGTTGAGTTCCCTTCTTGAAGATTTCTCTTGGAAGAGAGACGAAACATTTCAACATAGAAGACTTACTCAACTTTTGAAGGATTTGTCTGCTTGGATTATTGAGATGCATCAAGACATTAATTAAAACTCGTGTCTCTCAGTTTACAGAGCCAGTAGAGACATACCCTGAGAGTAGTTTTACATTCCTGAATGCGTTGACGTGTTGTCAGAGATGCACAAAAGAGCAAGCCCTCTCTAGAGGGTTGGAAAGAAATCCTTGTTTGATAGCGCCCAGCCAAGGATAAGCAAATCATTCCTCTCCTGATTCCTGAACAGCCTCTCCTTCAGTCTGTCTCCAGTTGCTTCGAAATAAAGAAATTAGTTGCTCCACTAATGTTTGATATTTTGAATTATTTCCTTTTTTGTTCTGTCATGCTCTAGAAGACAATATATTTTAGCTGTTGGGTCATGAATTGACCAGGGTAGGATGTAGGATGAGACAAAAGCAGGAAAAGAAGAAAACAAAGTAGGTGGTTTGCCATTTTTCGCATGAACATGTGCTTGAGTTGTCTTTTGAACCTCTATGGAGCTCTTTTAACTGATCTTCCACGTGTGCAGCGGTGCGTTTACATCCCTGCGTCAGCATATCAGCGCCCTGCGTGATGTTTCGTGTCAGAGGGAGCAGTCTGATAACAGAGAGCCACCTCAGCAATGCTGAGACCCTCCTGGACTTGGAAAAAAAAGAGCACAATGAGGAGAACAAATCGCAACTCCCCGTTCTGTAGCCTTGAGGGGAATCTGTGTGTTTTAATGTGCGTGAGAGAGAAAATCCCAGTCTGATCAGCACTTCCTCACATGTCACAATTCCCAACACCGTTAAACAAGCGAGATTAACTGTATAAAACCTCTTTGTCTCATTCTGTTATGTCCAAACCTTTAACCTTTATGTATTTAACTGGTATTTTATGAGAAAAACTGGCATAAAGTAATGTATAATTGTGAAGAGGAAGGCAATCAATCAGAGGTTCTGACTTAACTTAGTCAGTTAGACCTTTGGGTCTTTAGGATCTGTTCCTGCCTCCTTTTCACATCTAGAAACCAAAGTTTTTGCCAGTACTTTGTGAACTTGCTTAAGCTCAGCTGGTTTCAACGAAGAGTGTCTTTGAACGTCTATTTTTAAGTGTTGTCAGAGACTCTGGGTTGATTTATGCTCAGACTTGGACTGGATCTGTAGGCTGAATGTAAAGGGTGGTATACCAACTGGAAAATCATTTCCATCCCAAGTCTCGAGTATTTTGCAACCTTTTGCAAGTTTTCTCCCAGAACTGCACCAATCTCGTCATTTAAACCTGACCTTGCTAAAGAAAACCAATTCCACACCACAATCCTGCCTTCTGTTTAACCAAGGAGACAGCGAATGCAAGGCTACATACGGTGGAATCTTCTACGCAAGGTGGTGGTTGAATTTGATTTAAACCGACCAGGTTTTTTGGCTTAGATGAAACTTCTTATAGTTTTCTTTTTTCAGTCTTCCAATGTGTCCAGATTGGTAGACTGAACTGATATGGGTTGTGTCTACAAATTGTCCTACATCGGCTGTGCATCTCTTCAGATTCTCTACAGTTACCCTTGGTCGCATTTCTGATTAATGTCCTGAGAGTTTTAGCGAGTGGTCATGTCTTGACCAATCCTTGCTCTGGGCTATCATGGGAAATCTCCTGAGTTTAACTGAGGTCTGCGGTTTATGGTGTAAAAATACCTCAATATTACACAGCGCTCTACAGTAGTAGCCATTCAAGATTTCCTTTTTTTCTTGATGGGCCCTTGGCTGGTCCCCTACAATTCCTTTTTCAAACTTTGTATTAAAATATTCTGTCATTATTTGTTGACATTAAGACCTAAAGAGAAGCATAATATCCTGGTCAGACCCTGTTATTCAGTGAAAGGGTCTGTAGGGAAGTGGCCTGCCATTTGGCTACCATTTGACTGGGAAGGGCTATTTTCGATGGCTACTACTGTGTTTACTTATTTTTTCAGCCTAAGCCTGAAACCCAATAAGCCCTTTCTCCTCAAACTTCCAAAGCATTTCCTTTAGGTTGTGTAATTAATGTATCTCAGGCTAATGCTGATCCTCCTCAAACTGTGGGAGAGAAGCTTTATTTAATGATACAGAATTCAAGGTGGAACTTTCTGAGCACCTGCTGCTTCTTCCTACTTCACACACCCACACAAAGACGGCCTCTTTGTCCTGATGATCCCTCGGAGGGCCGCAACAGGCCAGGAGGCTTCCTCCGGCACCCTTCAATAACCATAGCAACAAATGACTGCCGTTGTGTTGCTCTGTGGCTTTGTTAAGGTGCACCAGAGGAAGCCAGAGCGAGGCTTGTTTGAGAGACTACTGGTATTCGCTGTGCGTCGGAGAGTCATGAAGTGCTACACCTGTTCCCGTCTCTGAGGAGAGCACAGCTGGCCCTGTCTCTCAAAGCACAGATACACATGTATGTGTATCTGTGCTATGTATACACATACTGTACCCAATTCACAAAACACAATTCTCCAATCTCCACTAAGCAGAGGGAGTCTATAAAACATCTGCCCAGTTAACAACACGGCTGTATCCACAGCAGGCTAACTTTACTTGTAGCTCGAGGCTCGACCCGGTAATTATTCTCTGTAATGATCCACAGAGACGCACTAACACATCCGTAGAGGAACGGGTACTCCATTTAATTGCTGACATGCTGTACCTGGGTCCCGCACCCACCTCAGGTAGTACAAGGAGAGCTGAGATCAAGAGAAGGAAGGAAGCTTTCATGCCTGCTAAGCTGCGTCCTCGGGTTACGCTCCGGTAATTACCGCCCGTTCCACTTCCAAGCCACGGTTCGGGTGATGAGGATGGAAAAAAAACACACCTAGCTCTTTTTCCAAACTCACTCTGAAGTCCCGAGCCTCACCTGAGAGCACGTCCGTCTGCTGCAACACAAGCGGACAAGATTCATCACCTAATTACGAGTCCCAGTCACAACAAGTGTCTCACCTAAAGGTTCGCCTTACGGTACTCACAAAGAACGGCGTGCTCATCCAGCCGCCCCCGGCCTTTGATGCTAATGAGTTTTCTCATCCTTTTGTGAACGTCAGGATGTTTTTTTTTTTCCTTTCTTCCTGATACCGCATGCTTTTTTTTTCCAGTTTGCTGAAAATGTGACTATCAAGAGCTTTGACTGTAAGCGCCGCTTCGCCTGCATCGTTTCATTACCTGATCACATTTAACATATAGCTGCCAAAGAAGGCGACAATCAACGAAGGGCTTGACTGTAATGAGTTTGTCTGTTTTGCAGTGAAGGAAGACTGCGCTTCAGACGGCGAGGATGACGTGAGCACAGACGCCCTGGTGGAGGAGATGCTCCAGAAGGGAGACACGGCCATTATTTACCCGGAGGCCCCGGAGGACGAGCTTCAGCGTCAGGGCACCCCTGATGCCAGCGTCCACGATGAGAACGGTACAGGACACACTAATACAACACCTATCTGGTAATTGCCTCCACTAGAGGGGATGGCTCTACCTCAGGTGTCAATCCCCCCCCCCCCATTAGCACCGGCATACAACATCATTACAACCTTTGCTTGTTTATTAAGACTCTTGGCTTTTACTTGCTTCCCCTCCTGAGGGGGAGCAGAGTGTTAGAAACTGCAACACCTGAGTAAATTTGTCACGTCTGTGGGAGCTCTGACTCACAGCTACCTGGGTGATAATGTGTGTGCATTCCCAGCCACAGCCCTCACCTGGTCCTGGGGGAACCTAATATATTACCTGTTAACAAGGTAATGCTTTACCTGTGTGGGAAGAGGACAACTAAGACCCTCTGTTAGGCCAGAGCCCATGCACAGGTGGTCAGCTTGTCTTTCCCAGACTTATGTTTTCTTCACACAGCCTTTTTTTAAAACACAATAGGCAATCACATGATTAAATCTCAAGAGTCTGAAGCTGCAATTTGTTTGCCTTGTGTCCCTGAGAATCGCAGATACCAAAAATCAGAAGCTGCCAAGGACAGCAAGTACTTATCAGCAGCCGGCTTTGATCCGTTTGGTTACCTGGCTGCTGTTTACCTGCAGGGGAGGATCTCTCAGTGATCAGTGAAATCACAGAGTGGTGTTATTGCGGCCGGTCATGTGCAACATCAAAGAGCATGTTTCGTTTGTTTTTGTTTTTTTAAGCCCGTCTCCTCTTCTATTGTTTCATCCAGGAACCCCCGATTCGTTCTCCCAGCTGCTCACGTGCCCGTACTGCTCACGGGGCTACAAGCGTTACAGCTCCCTGAAGGAGCACATCAAGTACCGGCACGAGAAGACGGAGGAGAGCTTCAGCTGCCCAGAGTGCAGCTACAGCTTCGCCTACCGGGCTCAGTTAGAGCGGCATATGAGCGTTCATAAGGGAGGACGGGACCAGGTAAAATGATGACCAAAGACACCTTTACATTTAGTTTTACCTGTTTAACTGGACTCTCCGAAGGACACTAGATGTCAGAGGAAAGCTTTATTGTTTACCTAGTCAGTAATTTGTGTGTTTAATCAAAGAGGGGGAGAAAAAAACATGATTTTAACCACTTTAAGAAAAAAAATATTATTAGTTTCAATGATTTAGTTAATATTATATTATTAGAGATTTGGTTTGACCTGTTCATGCATTGATTTAAGGTGGTCCTCATGCAAAAAGAGCATTAAACAAGCTCCTGTTTGTTTTTGCAGATAAAAAGGAGGCTTCAGTTTTAAAGAATCAATGTTCCCTTTAGATCAGTCTGATCATTTTAGTTTTATTTAGATCTGTGTAACTGCATGAGCAGATTAAAATACGCTAAATAATGGATTTTAACTATTTGAATCATCAGTTTCTATTAATCTTCACTCTGTCTCCATTTAAATTATATCTACCCAGCAAAGGTGGGTTGACTAACCCAAAATTGTATTAAAGTAAGAGTAACGCAGTACTCCATCGTATAGGGGTTAAAAAACATATTTGGTAAAAAGGCTATTCAAGCACTGAGTAATTTTATTTTTTATTTAAGATTATGTAATAAACCTACGGAGTGTATTTTTTGTGAGATCTCGCAAAAGTTTTGCAGGATCTCGCAAAAGTTTATTTTTTCCCTCCATGTCCCTTTAGGGGCTCCGTAGGATTGCATACTGACATTGTCTCTTTTTATTCGTGTAATCGCGTGTTTTGGGACTTCTCTAGAAATTAAGAACCTCTCCAAATCATCCTCCATGGTTGTAGCTGACGCATGGGCGTATTATCCTCCCATAACAGTACACTTTGCACCTCCACTGTTGTGTGTCTGTTTTACTTCCGGTTCGCTGACATGGCAAAACATTTTGCAAGATCTCGCAAAAGTTAATTTTGTCCCTTTAGGGGCTCCGTATAAAACAGACCAAAAAAGTTATGAGCAAATTCAGGTATTTTTAAGTTTTAATAAATTTCTTAAACAAAGGAATACTGTAACTGAAAAAAATAACAAATCCAGGGAGAAAAAACACTTTTCTGAACAAATTTTCTCTTTAAAGATGTTCACGACTAGTTGAAGATGTTGGCCTAAAATTGCTGTAACTTTCCTTTTAATTAAAATTACTATTAGTGATACATAATTCATAACTCATAATTTTCTCAAGAATTGTATATCCTTTGTTTAATTTTTAATTCATTGCACAACTGATAAAAAGGAAACCTTTCTGTGGGTTTCCATGTTTTCAGTTGTGCAATGCATGCTGGGTTATGCCGTTAGGTCGTACTGGACAGGAACCTACAGAGTAAACACAGGAAGGCTAACATTAGATGTTTTTTTTAATCGTATTACGCTTGACTGGTACAAGTTAAGACACTTTTTGCCATAATACATGAAATATCTGTTGAAACGAATAAATGATCTGCAGTGTACTATGTTAGCTAGAGCTAACACCATTAGCAAAAGCTAGCGTGAACTCAAAATCAAATCAGAAGGTAATGAATGACTTTTTAAAGCCACATAGAAGCATCTTTTAGTCACTGTCAAACATTGTTTTAATATATCTGAGAGAATGAACCATAAACAGCCTCAATTAGAAACCAGAGCTCTTTGTAGCATAGCTCTCCACCTGAGTTAGCATCTCCTAGCAGTCTCCCCTCTTCTTCATTTTGTCCTTCTTATCTTTGTTATATCTTGTGTTTTCTAAATTGTCATCATTTTAACACAGTCCAGTTCAAAGTGAAAATGTTTACTGTTACTCATTATTTGGCTGGCTGGAACTAGCGCTAAAGGACCTAGCATACATCATTTACCCAAAACTTATTGCTGCTTAAACAACATGGTGACCTCCGTATGAAATTATTTTATTTAAATTATTACAAATTAACTGTTTAAAATACTTAATTGTATTGTGCTTAGTTTGAAAATAAACGTACCTCAAATAAAGTAAATTTTTATAACCAATTGTGGATCTCTGTAACATAAAACTTATGAAACCAGTACAGATATAAATTAAACTTGTGTACACGAATTGAACGCAAATCTTGCATCAAAAAAAGTTTTTTTGTTTTACACAAGCTTTTTCATTATTCAGTGAAGTTACTAAAAATGGATGAAGTAGCCAAACATTTTCTGTAAAAAAAAGAGTAAAACGTAAAATTATGGTGCTTTAAAAACCGCTCCTAATAGTATGTTTGTCACAAAGTGAAATGTAACTAGGTACTACCCACTGCTGCTACAAATTACACTTTAATCCAGCAGACTAAGAAGACATACACTGGAAAGAATTAAAGTCTAGAAAAGTATTTTTTTCTTAAAATAAATGCATTTTTCCTTGAATTGACGAGGAAAGTGAGACACTTTGCCAATGGAACAAGACAATTTCCATTTAAAATAAGAAAAAAACTACTGCAGTCTCATATTTAAAGTGCATATTATCCAATTATCTTATTCTAAGAGTAAATATACCCATTCCATTGTCAAATCATCTTATTTACCTTCTCGAATTAAGGGTGAATACACTTAAAGAAATGTTGACGTACACTGCAAAAACAATCTAGAAATAAGTCAAAATGTCTTTAATAAAGGGCATTTACCCTTAATTTGAGCAGAAAAATAAAGAGGATTTGCCAATGGAATGAGGATTTTTACTCTCAGAATAAGGAAATTAGATGATATACACTTGAAATAAGACAATGAAACAGGGTTTTTCTTATTTTAAATGTAAACTGTCTTGTTCCAATGGCAAATAGTTTCACTTACCTCCTCAATTCAACAAAAATCGCACTTGTTTTAGGAAAAAATTACTTATCTAGATTAAGATTTTTTCCAGTGTATTGCAGATCGTTTTTGCAGTGTAAAGTTCCTTGTAAATCCAAGGCCACATTCACCCGTCTAGATTAAATCTTACACCAGAAAACCAAAATAGGTAAGGTTAATAAGGGTTAGCTTTTGTTCTGCGCTCAGACTGCTGTAAAAAACAAAAAAAAAACAAAAAAACATCTGGTACATTTGACTCAATCAGCATCGAATCCAACCCTCTTAGTTTACAATAGGTGAGTTTATGAGAAGAGCCGCCGCAGGGAGCACCGATGGATAAGCAAGTCAAATTAAGCTAACACTTAGGTCAAAAGTTACGCAGTGTCACTTTAAGAAGCAGTTAAATTTATTTGAGATGAGAAGTTCTTGTTGAATTGTCTCAGAAACTGATTCCCAAAGGAAACTGCACAAAAGCAAACAATCTCCCTGCCACCACCAAAAAAAATGACAAATAAACATGAACTCTTGCCCTTGATTGATCAACAACATTGTGATGTGAATTAGCAAAGTTCAAAGGTTACCTTCTTTTCATTGTTTGTGTGACTGAACTCTCCCCCCCCTCTCAACCCTTTCATCACCCTCTTCCTCACAGAGACACATCACGCAGTCCGGAGGCAACCGGAAATTCAAGTGCACCGAATGCGGCAAAGCATTCAAGTACAAGCACCATCTGAAGGAGCACCTCCGCATTCACAGTGGTGAGAGCGCAGCCCCGTCACATGTGTGTGTGTGAGTGAGGGGGTCATATTTGTGGCGTTATAGTCATGCGCCTCCGCTGGGCTCAGACTCTTCAATCAGTTGAAGCAGCCTTTGTGTTTTATTTATGTTTAGATCTCCCTCATCATGTTTCAGGGTGTTGTGTTCTCGTCCTTAATGTGCCATAATCATGTTTCTTTTGGCGTTATGGGACAACAATTAGAGACGGGCATTTCCCAGTGGCGCCATTACCCCAACGTTTAAGCATCATTGAAATGCATTAGAGCTTTTTCCTGTCGTACAGCTTATAGCCTAGCTTGATCATTTAGCTTCACTCACTAATGGAAATCCCCCCCCCCCCTCTTTCTTTCTCTCTGCTTCACAAACTGTGGTTTTATTCAGGAGAAAAACCCTACGAGTGCTCCCATTGCAAGAAGCGCTTCTCCCACTCAGGCTCGTACAGCTCCCACATCAGCAGTAAGAAGTGCATCAGCGTCATCTCAGTGAACAGCAGACAGCGCCTGGGGAGCAGCAGAAACCAGGCCCAGGGCTCATCACCGGGGCTACCCACATCACCGTCGGCCCGCTGTGGACAGATTAGAGAGAAAATGGAGCACAGTAGGCCCCTCCAGGAGCAGCTACCCCTCAACCAGATCAAAACAGAACCTGTGGAGTATGAGTACAAGCCGGCTGTAATAACGCCGCCGGCAATGGCCACTATGAACGGTGGGGTTTTTGGCGGAGGTGCCGCCGCCCCTCTGCAGGGTACCGTACAGGCGGTGGTCCTGCCCACAGTGGGGCTGGTGTCACCGATCAGCATCAACCTGGCGGACCTTCAAAATGCCCTCAAGGTGGCAGTGGATGGTAATGTTATACGGCAGGTCCTGGAAAACAACGCCAAAGGCCAGGTGAATTCAGGCCTCACAACTGGAACGCTCCACCCCCCTCAGCAGCAGCTCATCTCAGCCATCAGTCTACCGATCGTCGGGCAGGATGGGAACGCAAAACTTATTATTAACTACAGTTTGGACCCCAACCAGGGCCAGCTCACACCCCACAACCTGAAGAAAGAGCCCCTGTCTCCGGCTCAGAGTGCCACTGACTCTATCAAGTCCCAGAAACTTCCAGAGGACCTCTCTGTCAGAGGCAGCAGGGACCAAGAGACAAAGCAGAAAGAGGAAAAGACCACTAAAACCTGTCTCCTCTGTGAGAACTGTCCAGGGGGGCTGGAAGCACTCCATGCCCTTAAGCACTGCAAGAAAGAGAACCTCAGACTGAACGGGGCAGGATTAGACAAATCAGAGGCTGTTGCCGCTTTGCTGTCAGAAGGAGGACTCTGCAACCACCCTAAGAACCTCCTATCGCTACTAAAGGCATATTTTGCCTTAAATGCAGAGCCCTCCAAAGAGGAGTTGGTCAAGATCTCCGACTCCGTCAGTCTGCCAGTCAATGTGGTAAAGAAATGGTTCGACAAAATGCAGCAGGGACAGATATCACTGGGTGCCCCCACGCCTCCCTCGGAGGAGGAGGACTCATGCGAAGCTCACAGCGTGGTGTCATTGGTCCCGGGGAAGGATTTGGCCGCTATAAGCAGTTCTGTGAGCCAGGACAGCCCCACAGAGGCTACGCCAGCCGAGGTCAACGGCGCGCACAGCTCACCTGCCTCGCCCTCTCCGATAAACCTTACAGCCGGCTGTCCCGCCCAAGCCGATACCCCTGAGAGCACTGAGGGACCACTGGACCTGTCGCTGCCAAAGCCTGCCAGAGACGAAGCAGAGAGCATGGTGCCCCCAGCCCGAGTTTACCCCTCTGCTTCCTCCTGCTCGACCAACGAGGAAGAACCTCTGAACTTAACTTGCACAAAGAAGGACTCATTGCCACTCTCCGCCATGGGCGGCAGCCCCCTGGCGTTGTACGCCAACCAGCGAAGTGCCAAACCCCTGGACATCGTAGCCACAATGCAATGCCTGCAAGCACTGACCACCACCAACAATAACAGCAAACAGACTATCCTGATCCCCCAGCTGGCTTACACGTACACCACTACAGCTAACAGCCCTGCAGGGACAGAGACGCACGAAACCATCCACCTCAATGGGATCAAGGTGCGTGGCCATCACTGGCCCCTGGCTTTAAAGGAGTCATAACCTGGTATTTTATACATAAAAGCCTACTAAAATCGTCTTTTATTTCATGTTTTGCCATTTTTAGAGGAATCTATATTAAAAAAAGCTTATTTAGACCACTTTTTATATATTTTTTGTTTTTGTGAGGGTAGGTATATGACCATCATGTGGATGTAGCGTTAGCACAATTAGCATTTAGCCACAGTTTGTTTACCATGATCTTGTATTTTTTTGTTATTTTATTTTGTTGAACACAATCAGCCCAGATCTCTAGCAGATGTAGTCATGGTTTCAACTTATCGTTCAGAGCTGCTAAAATTCAAAATCACAGTGAGCTGAAGCAGTTTAATCGTTGACGCTAAAACACGCCATCAAAGTTAGGGGGCGGGGTTAACGCGAATCGAGTCGCCACCTTCTGTATCAGAGTATGTTCACAACCTGTGGATCACAGTCTCTGTAATCGATTAGCTTCGCCTTAATGTGCAGGGTGACCAATCAGGTGTTAGATAATCCCGCCCCCTAACTTTGATTGGTGAGTTTGACAGATTCTTTTAATGGTTTCGATGCGCTGCGACACAGGACCATGAAATAATTATATATATATATTTCTTAAATAAAATAAAGACGTATTTTATTAAATTAATGAAACATTTATATATTTAATTCCTTATTTATTGAATGAATTACACATTTAATTGTTTATCGCTGTATTTATTTATTTAATTGTGGCACTTTATATTAGTGACATGGTTTTAATTAATGAATGACACATTTATTTATTTAATTCCACATTTAATTAATTAGTGACACATTTAATTATTTATTTAATGCTGTATTTATTTATTTAATTTTGGCACTTTTTATCCTCCATAGATAAACTCTTGTGTAGGAGGTTTAGTAAAACTTGAAGCTCTTAATGAGAGGAGGAAGGACGGCTGTAAATGTGAGGCTGTCCCTCAGAGGACACGCAGCTGCTCTCTGCTGCACACGCCCTATTGATCCGTTGGAATCGGGCGGAAAGCAGCACCTCTGCCTGCCCAATCGATTTCCTGTTGTTGTATCATACTTTTGTGTTAAGTGGATTGGCATAGATCGGCCTTGTAAAACACAAATGATGCCAAACATCCCTTTGCTGCAGCAGAGGGGAATGTTGTCTCAGATAGTGAAGCGTTTTGTTTTTGTGACGAAGGTATGAAGCCGTCCTGAATCACTGCTCTATGAGGAAGAACTCATTGTAACCTGATGTCTGATTTCTCAGGAAGAGAGGCTGGATCTTGGCTCGGAGGGCTTCTCGGCCATGGATGAGCAGAACGACTCGGACTCCGGACCGGCGAGGAAGAAGATGAAGAAGACGGACAGCGGCATGTACGCCTGCGACCTGTGTGACAAGATCTTCCAGAAGAGCAGCTCGCTGCTGAGGCACAAATACGAACACACAGGTAAATGTTTAAACACAGAAAAAAGACATAAACCAAACCCCTGTGGGATGAGTCAGAGCGCTAGCAGAGGGGGATTTTGAGCTGCTGGAAGAAGGGTGGACACCCCCATTCCAGCAGGTATTACTCAACACTCACAGAAGAGGTCTGAGAATTTATTTCCACCAACTCCCCGTCTCGCCGCTGCCAGTTTCTCATGTACGGCTCCGCATGTTGCAAGGAGTGAACTCTGGTAGTGATTTGGAGCACTTCAAGATGATGATTCGGCGGCCAAGCTCAGGTCAGCGCTCTCAGAGGCGTTTTCTTTTTCTTTATTACTCCGATACCTGGCTCTGACGCCCGGTTTTCAGCTCCAAGTGACCTCATCTTAGGTGAAACTAAGCTGCTTGTGTTGAAATGTTCTCCTTGGATACCCTGATGATGGAGCACGCTTTCAGGGTGTAGGAACATGCGGGGGATTGTTTGTTTTCCACTCATCCCTCCGTTTAGCAGTCTTCAGATTTCTTTAAATATCTAAAGTCCATTTTCAGCCCGTTTAGGATGAGAGCTGGTGTTAGCAGACATCCCTGCTGATCCTCATGTGCGTCGCCGTCCCTAACAACCGCCCACACCTGCAGGGTTCCCGCGGGTCCTTAAAAAGTCTTAAAAGGCATTGAATTCTTCAAAATAAAACTAAGGCCTTAATTGGTATTAAATTATCTTAAATCAATCTTTTATAAGTCTTAATATTTAAAGCATCATAAATAAGATTATTTTTATTAAGATTTATTTTTGTATCTAAATAAAATGATAAAATTTAGGTTTTCTTTTTTTTTATAAAAAAAAAAAAAACAACGGCTCGCCATTATTGGTTCCGTCCCGATAGCGGAACCAATAAATCGTTGTTGCGGCCCGGACATTTGGGAGATGCGGCATTAAATTTTTGTCTGGAAAATATGAGAAAGTGTAAATGTAAGAGGGGTGGAACGGTTCACAAAATCCACGGTTCGGTTCGCTTCATGGTTTTGTGGTCACGGTTTTCGGTTCGGTTCGGTACATGTTGATTGTTACACCGAAAAAAAAATAATAAATAAAAATAATAAAAAATTTTATTATGAAATTAATGAAAAAATCCAAAAAAAATTATGAATTGTAATTATTTTTTATGATTCGCGGAAACCCTGGATCATTTCCGCATGTTTTGCTGCTTTGAATTTAATCATCTCGTGCATGCTCTCTACGATCTCAGAGGAACTCGGGACGGGAGCCACAGTGGAGGCTGTAGGCTTTGCTTTGCCAAGGCGGTCTCGTGCGCAGTGGAGCGGAGCGCCGACGGAGTATGTGGGATTTCGGGTTAGCATGACATGTTGGGCGTGTTGCTGTTAGCATAAACAAAACGTGTTGCACAATGCTTGCACACTGTTGCACTTTTATCCACAACTTTCTTTCCGCCGTCATCGTAGGTCACTCTAAATGCAAAGTGGTCCCATACAGCAGACCTATAAAGTGCTGCTGGCGCGTCTTCCAACTCCTGTTCTTTCCCACTCGCCATACCCACACAATTCTCCACAACAACTGATTTTTTTCTGCTACACCCGGCTACGCTGCTTCGCTTCTTCTTCTTGTTTACTACTGGTGGTTGGCTTTGGTCGCTGTACCGCCACCTTCTGCTCTGGAGTGTAATCGCTTCGCCTATGAGAAAATGGAGCAGCGCATGAACCGAACGCAACACACGCGAATCGAAGACAGTCGAACCGAAAGGTTCGGACGGTTTTCAAAAACCGTTCCATCCCTAAAATGTAACGAAAATTGGTTATCCAGCCAAGAGTTTTCTCCATGGCTAAAACCAGGGAACATACGTAAGGCACAGAGTAACACAGGAACGATGGGATTTAAGGCAGTGGAGTCGCGCATGAGAAATGCGAAACACAAAGCGTCAAAATCAAGTTACAGAGAAACAGCCGGTATTTCTCAGTTTAGTTCCACCCTTGTCTCTGCAACACCTCCACTTATCACCAAATCAAACAGACTAAGAAATCCATACAAAGAAAAATAGCTGCAAAAAAGACTTAGCACTGGTTATGTTGGGGCTTTAAAACTGATTGTTTTGTTCCCTGCTAAAACAAAGTTTGTGAATTCAGTTAAATAATTGTTAAAATATATCTGTCATTTGTGTGTTTTTAGCTTTCTTCCTATATGGGAAGCTTTTCAAAGTTTGAAACATTAGTGCAGTGGTTTATGTTGTAATAAACCTTTGGGTTAAGTTTTCGCAAGCAGGTTTTTCTTGTATTTCTTGTGAATTTGGTCTTAAATTTTTATTTCAAGTGGCATTAAAAAGTCTTAAAAAGTCTTGAATTTAACTTTCCTTATGCTGTAGGAACCCTGACCTGGCATCAATGGCTTTTGGGTCATCAGATCAGGTTGCTTTGGACGGACATAAACGTGTGTCTGCTGATCAAACTACATCATTATTCAGACATTACATTAGCAGAGGTTTATATTCTCATCGGGGTTAGTCGATTGGTCCATCAATCTTTTAGATAGCAGAAGAAATGTCAACTGCAGTAAACTATGTATAAAAAAACAAAACTACAATATCATTTAAATTACCAAAAGACATAATTTTACAGTAATTCAATCTTTTAACACTTTATAGGGCAAGTTACCATTTTAGATCACTTACAAATGGAGTCCCTCCGTCCCTCAGTGAGGTCTAGAAGCACAAGATCTACATCCAGCCATTCAGCAAAGATCATGCTACATGGCTGCATGTCATCTTATTGACATTTGGCCAATTAGATGAACCCTTGATTAATATATTAATGCCTCTAAGGTTATGTTTGTCATGAATTATTTTTTCTTAAAGGGGAACGCCGTTTTTTTTTTTTTTTTTACATTGGGCCCCTTGATTTTACGTTATTACATCATGTTCTACTCACACTTATGAGTTTTATGTCATTTGGAGCCGTTCTGAAGATATTCCGTTAGGTTCTATCTAGGGGTGGGTATTGGCAAAGAAGTCACGATGCGATTCTATCACGATGCATCACGATACTTGAATTATTGCGATGCATTGCGATATTTTCACTGAACACTGTAAGAAAAGATACAGCCGTTACCAGTGGCTGACTGGCTGGGTGTGATCTGGATCGTGTCTTCAATCGATACATAACTGAAAGCAACTGAATTCATACATAGCTGTATTTATTGAAACGACTTTTGGAGGTGTTGCCATGGAAACAAATACTGGACACAAATATTACTATTACTATGACAAAAAGATCTTAGGATTCATCAAACTTAAAATAACAAAATAAGGATAATCAGTGCCGTTTACATCGCCTCAGTGGTCCATTTGCAAATTAAGTGCATCATATCAATTTCATTTTTACCTTCTTTGTTTTTAAAGCCAGAATGCATCCAAGCATCTGACTTGAAATGTGATGGAGCCGCGGGGCGTATTTTCTCACTGTCCTCCATATTTTGTTTTTGAATGACTTGTCTCAGTTTCCCGCGGCCGGAAATGCTTGTGACACAAAGCAGCGGGCGTCAACACATCCGCAGCGACATCTGCTGGACTGGAAGTTGTATTCCACTTGATTTGGCTGATGTGCGCCAACCATTCATGTATTTTATTTGTTCATTTTTTTTTTTTTATAATCGATTCTTGCCTTCAAGAATCGATGCAGTAGATCACAAAAATTAGAATCGCGATGCATCGTCATGACGATTATTTTGCACACCCCTTAGTTATATTCAACTAACGTCTTACTATGAGCAAACGACTTGAAAGCACAAACGTCATACATGCGCCGCTTTGTTTTTAAAACGTATGTAGAAAATATAACAGTGGATGTCTGGAGGGCAGTGATCCGCCTCCATGTTATGAATGCTGGCGTACCATAAAGAATAAATTATGAACAGTTTAGTTTGTGTCTTCAAGTCGTTGCTCATAGGAAGACGTTACCATAACAAAACTGACACAAAACTGAGTAGAACGTGATGTAATAACGTAAAATCAAGGGCCCAATGTAAAAAAAAAACGGCGTTCCCCTTTAATATATTCGGGCAAGTTGGCGTTTCTTGTTTTTACATTAACATAAATTTTTGTCATCAAAATATCCATATATATTTTTTTTTATGTTACAAAGGTAATAAGGTCTTTTCCTGGATTCCAATAACAATATTAGCTTGAAATGTTGATTTTCAAAGTATAAAGGGTTAAGTTTAACTGTTTATATAACTGTAAAAGAAGCCTGTCATCAATGTTGATTTTAATTACCTACAAAATCTGTCATGAACTCATTTCCTCCATGCCGCCTCTATCATGAGGTAGATTTCACCCATGTCAGAACTTATTCTACAAATTTTCAAATTTCCTTTTTTTTCTCTTCTTTTTTTTAAACTAAACCCCAAGCGAGCGTAAAAACGTTTGATTCCATTTTTGCTTTTTCTGTCAAACTCCTTTTATGTGATTCTTCAGAAAAACATTCAGGCGGTCTTAAAAACCCATAAAATCTGTATGCTCCTTATTTTCTTGCTCATATCTCATTTGTTAAACCAGTTGTTGCCAAAGCGGGAGAGCGCCCCCCATTTGTAAAAGTACAAAAATGATTAATTTAACATTAAATGCCTTTTAAGATGCAGATAAGATGCTTTATTCCACATCTTAATGAGCCAAAATCCCTCATAGAGAGCACCGAAGATCAGCCATCTTATGCAGGAACCAAGAAAAGCTCAACTTTATGATCTTGTGTGTAATCTGGGAAGCTTTTCAGGAACAATTCAAAGTAGTTCAGTTAATACAAACATTGGCTTTATTTTTCTAAAGAAAGTTGCATAAATGGATAATTTTCCTGCACATTCTTTTAGCTATAACTCTATTTGAAATTTCTTTTGGGAACTACTTCTTTGAATGTTAAAACCTACATTTGATTTTTTGATGGAATGAAGGATTTTAGATTTTATAATGATTTTGATAAGACAGGGTTTGTTTTTCTTAAATTTCCTTTAAGGCAATGATTCACAGTCTTTGTGAAGCTCACTTTATGTTGTAATCCTTTTGTGTCCATTCTGTGTTTCAACCCTGACTTTATACGGAGTGAACTTTGTTCCATTATTGTTGCAAATTCAATAAAAAAGCAATCTAGAAAAAAAGTTTCTTGATAAAAAGGGATTTTTAAAGTAACTTTATTGTTTTCTTAGATGTTATTTTTTTCATTTTTCTTCTAATTTTCATTTTTCAATTTCTTTCCATATTTTATTATTTCAAATTCATTTGAAACCAGATTAAGGTTTACCAATTAACATTAATGTTTAATTCCTCTGCTGGATGTTAGGGTTTAAGAGTAACTTTGTCGTTTTCTAAGATGTTAATTTTTCCAACCATCTTTTTATGTTTTATTTTGTCAGTACAGATTTTATATATTTTTTTTTTTTTGTTAATTCAAATGTCTCTTTTTCAGATTGAGTTTTACAAACTGCATTTCTTCCAATTGTGTTTTATAGATCACATTGTCTTCATCTCAGTCTGAATACACTAACTCGCTCATGGCCGCTTGAAAACTTAATTTGGAAAGAATGCAATTAATAAAACTCAATCAGAGAAAAAAAACTTAAAAATAAAATTTGAAAATATAAGTTTCATAAAAAAAAAGAAAAAATAGAATTTGCAGAATAAAAATGAATTAAAACATGAAATAAAAAAAATATTTAGAAGAAAAGAAAATGTGAAAAATTGACAAAATTGCTTTTTAAGAACTTTTTCAAACTTTCATTTCTAGATAGCATTTTGTTTTTACATTTCAATATATAAAACTTTTTTGCTTGAACCAATAATAGAATAATGCTCTACTGATCACCACTAGATGGCAGCAAAGAGCTTCCAGTAGGATCTTTAGCTTGTGTAGATTCTCCATCATCCAGCATCAGAGGGGTCCCTCCACCAGCCTGGCTTTTTATGGTGATTCTCGTTGCACTCATGCTGATTTACGTCTCTCTTCGCAGGGAAGCGACCTCATGAGTGCGGCATCTGCAGCAAGGCCTTCAAACACAAACACCACTTGATCGAACACATGAGACTCCACTCGGGGGAGAAGCCGTACCAGTGTGACAAGTGCGGAAAGCGCTTCTCCCACTCCGGCTCCTACTCCCAACACATGAACCACCGCTACTCCTACTGCAAGAAGGAGGCGCAGAGCCAGGCGGGGGGGCGGGAGAGCCCAGAGGAGGACGGCGAGGGCCCTGCTGACATGCAGCAGGACACGGCCCCATCCCTACTGGACTCAGACGAGCGAGGGAGCAGCACCAGGGAGGATGAAGAGAGTGAGGAAGAGGAAGAGGAGGGTGTGGTGGACATGAATGATATCCAGGTTGTGCAGATAGAGGAGGAGGAGGGGGAGGAGGAGGAGAAGGATGGAGAGAATGGAACATTAGAGAAGGAGGAGAAAGAGGAAGCTGACACAAGGCAGGTCAACGTCGATCCAGAGGAGGTGACGGACGTAGAGGGAGGAGTAACCGAGGAGGCGGGCGGGAAGGTCCGAGAGGGGAGCAGAGGTGAAACAGACAGGAGCGAAGATTCTCAGGATGAGAAGGAGACGCAGAAGGAGAACGCAGAAACAGACTGAAGGAGGCTCCTCCCTGAGATACAATCAGACTCCTCCTCGCTCCGCGCAGAGGAGCAACGTCCGCTCACTCTGACAGTTCACTACTGTGTAGAATCCAGGTGTGCCTGAAAAAAAAAATACTAGTGACTTTCACCGCAGGAGAGCATTTCTCACTGTTTGAAGAAGCGTTTGTAAAACAGAAAGAGGAAGAGGAATTTTAACGAACAAAGGACGATGCATTATACAGACTTTGGAAGCTAGAGCCGACACGTTTTAGATAATGTTTTATTACTAAAACACCTTGGGTCCTTTCTTTTTATCAGTGTTACTAATTTTATCACTCATATTTTAATCTTTAAAAGCTGTACAGTTGGGAGATATTTCTATATCTTTTTATTGCCAATGAACAAAATGAAAAAAAGTCAGTATTTTGTTAAGTTGGAAGGAAAAAAAAAAAAAGACAAATCCTGTGCACTACAAGTGGCTTGGTTTACCTACAGGCTGATTTTTTTTTGTCGTACCCTTCAGTATTATCGCGCCACGCCGTCACGCTAGCACGCGGTTAGCATTACACACCTGATTTCTGTTGTTTGGATTGGACTCTGAGCCTTAAGAAGAAAGTCGACTGAGAGCAAATATGTTTTATAACCAGGCAGTGTTGATGTTTTTAAAGTTTTTAGTTGTTTTTTTTTATTTTATTTAGCTAGATCACGATCAATTCCATATCTGTCGAATCAACCTTGGCGAAACTAACAAGGTTCCTGCATTTTTCATGGAGAGATTCCAACCAAAGTCCCCAAACCAGTTTGGCCCATTTATATAAATATAAAGAAATGTATAAATATAAAGATATGATTAAAACTTCAATATGGATGGATGGATGGATGGATGGATGGATGGATGGATGGATGGATGGATGGATGGATGGATGGATGGATGGATGGATGGATGGATGGATGGATGGATGGATGGATGGATGGATGGATGGATGGATGGATGGATGGATGGATGGATGGATGGCCAACCAGCATCACTAAAACCACTAATTATTAACTTTTTTTGTCTTATTTGTTTAATCTGGACACTAATGCTGAGTTCAGACCGAATGTGTTTTGAGCATCAGGGTCGTTGAGAGGTTTTCCAGCATCTTCAATTGTTTTTATCGTGAATGTGTCGGGAACTTTTAAGCGTCGTCGCCACCCGATCCGTCCCGGAAGCACGATCCGATAACAGCTCATTGGCGCATCTAGACATACATCTGGGTCGTCCTCGATTTAATTTTGTTAAAAAGACCTAAATTATGTTTTCCCTCCCCAAAAATAGCAAACGTACTAAAATATAAAGTGTTAAAGGTTAATAATGTATTTCCTTAGAAAATAAATACCTTAAAATCCTTTCTGGTTTATCACTCGTCTCTGCCCGATCTGCACCGGAAATTCTACGTTATTCCGGTTGCTAACTTTTTCGGCTTCGGATTTAAACATAAATCTAGTCTCTTTGAGTTTTATGTTTTCGTTTCCTTTTAACATTATGGTATATAGTGCGTAATCTAAAGAAAAAAAAAACACTAAAATGCAGATAAAGATGGTTAATCATATTTTGTTGGACTGTACTAAGCATGTCTGATGATGACGTTAGAGAAGCAGTTTAACGAAGAAAATGTAAAAAGCATAAAAATTGTCTCACAAAAGTCATATAACATCTTTTAAAGATGTGTATTAGCATTCTTTAGTGAGATAAGAATATAAATAACAAATTTTAGTACCATAATCACATTATTTATGGTTACCTGGATGTATATCTCTTCACGCATGCGTAGGATGGATCGTGTTTCCGGGACGGATCGGGTTGTGACAACGCGCACATACATATTATTAAGGGTGTGCTGAGCTGACAGAACACCTGTTTCAACTCATCATGGTGATCCTGGATTTTACCAGGCAAGTCACAGTGCTTTACGTATTAGGAGCAGAAGCTAACTCGGTTAGCCTATGCTTAGTCTAGGTCAGACACTCTTTTCTCAAATGGCTAATTGGTTTTTCACATAAATGTCTAACTTTTTACCCACCATCTTTAAACTTGGAGACTTATGAGAAAGAACGCATTGAAATTAAAGTATGCGATTCAGAATTGCTATTGGATATTGAAGCTAACAGCTGATATCAACCGATGCCGGCTCCCAATTAAAAAATAAACTGGAATACTGTTGCAGAAAGATTTTACGAAGCACGTCAAACTATAGCTGTGGCTTAATTCGTCATTTTCCAAGGTGCTTCCGTCTGACCAGGACACAAAACTGTCCCTCTTCAGGGCAGAACCGCCCAGACGGCGTCGTATCGATCCTGAACGCACACCTACTTGGGGATAACATGCAAATCGTTCTCTGGGGATTCCCAGTGCTACTATCCCCTTGTATAGGAGGCTCTGCCGCTCAGAAAAGCTATGATAGAATATTTAAAAGTAGAATCTTTGGCTACGTTCACACTGCAGGCCTTGATGCTCAATTCCGATTTTTTTGCGAAATCCGATTTTTTGACGTTGCAGTGAACATTTTCAAATATATGTGACTTGTATGTGATCTCCTGTGTGAACTGCAGTCATACAACGCAAGTGTCCCGCATGCGCGGTAGATGACGCGATGACGTCACAGGCCAGCGTGCTCTATTTTTCCGGAAGTAATCGTGGGTGGTAGTGCCGGTGCGCATCTAGCGATCTTTTCCAACCATAGAAACACAATCTTTTCAATATGTTTAAACATAAATACTGCTCTCCGCATCCTCATCTACCATGGTTGGGTTTTTTTCTTGCCGCTTCTCCGTAGAAAGACCCAGAATAGTGACCTTTGTCGGGTATTAATGACGGCCAGGTCGGATTCTGTTCACACACAGGTCGCATTTGAAAAGATCAGATTCGTATTTGTTTCAGGACCACATAGCCAAGTGGCCTGGGTCATATTGGAAAAAAATCGGATCTGTGTCGTTCAGACTGTCATGAAAAAATCTGATCCAGGTCGTATATGGGCAAAAAAATCGGATTTGGGTCACTTCAGGCTGCGGTGTGAACGTAGCCATAATCCTGAGAAACTGACTGCGCAGATAACTTGTTGAGGTGTGCTTTGTTGCTTAAAAACATCTTAAAATTTCTTTTTACCCACTTATCAGAGCAAATAAAGCAATTGCATCAGTACACAACGACCAGCAATACCAATCAAACACACATGTATGCACTTTTCTCGACGCTTTCTTGACGCTCAAAACGTGTTCGGTGTGAACACAGCATAAAACAGTTCGGCACATAACCTCCCAAAAAAATGCCACTCGTTTATTTCTTTCTCAACATGTATATGCACGTTAAATAAGCAAGCTAATGAAGCTAAGTTGCTAACGGGGTTAGCCACGCTTAGGCTAGGTCAGACATCTTGTTTTGAACGTCTAAGCACCTGTTCACTAAAAAAAAAAGCCTTCTTATCCACCACCTCATCCATTAACTGTGAGATTTATGCAAAAATAATAGTAAAAAAAAAAAAAGCATTAATAAGAAAGCATGCGATTCAGAAGTGCCATTGGATATCGCTGTCGAAGCTAACAGCCGATACCAACCGATGCCGGGTCCCAATCAAACAATAAACCGGAAAACTGTTGCAGAAAACGTAGATATTAGCCCGCTAGATTTTAGAGATTTTATTTCGTTTTTTTTTTTTTTCGTCAAACTTGTTGTTTTAATGAAGACTTTTGGTTTTTCTTTAACTGCATCCTACATTTCCTTAGCTTGTTCAGCGCACTTGTTTTTTTTTTTTTAAACACCCTCAGAAATCTCTTCAGGAAACAAAATGAAGTTTAATTTAACCCTTTTTTTTACCCGTCAGTATTATTTTTCTCCCTTCATGTTTTATTTCAGTGTTTGTTCTATTCATGCTCTACAGTATTATTCCCCCTCCCACCCACCCGACACAATGGTTTTGTCTGTTTAGTTGTAGAGAACTTTTATATTTATGTGTTGGATTCTTTTTTTCTTTTTTTTTTACATTTCTTTACGCTTATTTATTACACATTGTAGTGTACAATACTGTAGTTTGTATTAATGCGATAATATATTTTAGTATGGAAAAAATAAGAAGAGAAGGCGAATAACTCTGGAAAACAAGACTCCGGCATACTGAAGTATGTTTTTTTTTGTTTTTTTTTTACACGTTTTTTCTTCTTGGGAAAAAAAGCTCTCACCATGCAAACCGGAAAGTTTGGAATCTGTGACCTCTCTCCATCCACTCTCATGTTAGTTTTCTCCCCCCTCTCCTAATATGAAGCTACTGAACTTTGAGAACTAATTGTATGTCTAATAGCATGAGTGTGTGCCGTCGTATTGAACGATGATCCTTAACCACATAGACTCTCGTTTTTTTTTTTGCCAAGCCAAAATAATATTGCCCTACGTTCTTATGTTCTTATTTGTGCCAACTTGTTGCTTTACATCAGTGTCACAACCATACCCCCAGTTTTATATGCCCCCCCTCCTTTTAACACCCTCATGTTTTTTATAATGAATGTTTTTGTTTCTCTTTTTTTATTTTCTATGATTCCCCATCTCACAATAAAATGCATCAATTACTTGCCCACGTTGTCCTGATTTGAAGAATTCAGTTTTAACATCCGTAGTCGGTAAAAAAAAAAATGTACCGGTAAATAGAAATATATTTTAACATGGTATAAAGAATCGTGAATATAGCTATATGTTCCTCATAAACTCTTGGGAATAATCAGCATTCTTATCTTTCCGTTTTCTTTTTAAGAGTATTTTATTTGTATGTAAAAACAAAAATAAGTACCTTATATGATTAGAATGATATGTTTGATATTACAATATTAATCGTTATAAAATGAAATACTCATATTTCCTTTTTTTTATATACAAGTTTATTTGAATTTTTTTTTTTATTGAGGTTCCAAAGAGTATTAACAGTAACTATCCTACAGTGGCTAACTCGGCCAAATGTCTGGCCAGATGTCGTGTCGCAACCCCCTAGTGGGGTGCTGATGTACTGCACTTGTTGATAGCTTTTTATGCATTAACTTTATACAAGTAACAAAAGTTTGGATTAGGACCTGATACCAGTGGAGGTATTTTGAAAGGTACATAGTCACATTGTTTGACATCTATATGTCAGTAGTTCACTATGGTTGCAAACAGTTTTTTTTTTATTATAGCATCCTCTTATATATAATTACTTTTGGTTTTTACGTTTTGTTTTTGCTTAATTTGTTAGTTAACAAAGCCTTTATATATAAGGTAAGGTATAATACTCCACGTATGCACAACTAGGTAAGGAAGAAAGTCGCCTACCGCGGCTAAGCTATTAGCACAACGAAGCGAAGTGTGGAAATAATTGATTTCAAAATCGAGTGGAACATTCCAAAAAAGAACCTTATCACAAGATGATTGGAAAAGTCCTGAGAACACAGTTTAGTGTTAGCGGAAGCTAACGCTGCCGAGGCGTTGAG